CGAGTCTCCCCCCTTTGATGAGGGTCTCAATAGCATCCTTGAAATGGATACAATCTTCAGTCAAGTGTCCATGGCTGCGATGATATTGGCAGTATTTGCTACGATCCGCCCCAGGCTTAGCAGGAGCGGGGCGAGGATGCTTGACACCGCCGTCCTTGAAATCTGTGTTCACATACTCTTCCATAATGCGCTCGCGAGAAGTCGTTAGCAGAGTGTACTCAATAAATCGCCCCAAGGGTCCTCTTTGCTCACGAAGGTCTCGGGGTTTGTCATCCCTCCTCTTCTCGCTAGATCGTCGAGGAGGGCCGGAGTCTTGTTGTCGTGGATTGCTGGTTGATCCATGATTCCTGGGGTCCTGGGCTCTATTGGCCGCTTCCCTCTCCTCGTAGTCCATGTATGCTCTGGCTTTCTCGAGGAGGGCACCGAATGTCTGGGGTGGTTCGATGCCAACATCCTTTCTGAATTCTGTTCTCGGGAGGAGTCCCCTCTCGAGCATGTATCTCTTCATATGATCGGTGCAGGGGACCTAGATGACCTCCCGATTGAACCGATCAATAAATTCCCTCAGGGTCTCGTTGTGTCTCTGGACGATAGCCTCAAGGGCTGCTTCAGTCATCGGGTGTCGATGTGAAGCAGTAAATGAACTGATGAATTGGTTCTTTAAATTATACCAGGAGGTGATTGACCCCGGGGCGAGACTCTTGTACCAATCCATCACAGCTTTCCTCAAAGTCGTGGGGAACAACCAACATTTGATTGGTCCCGCGACATTGTGATAATGAGCATTGCCTCAAACCCGTCTATGTGGTCGACCGGGTCAGTAATGCCGTCGTACTCCTTCAGATGGGGAGGCTTCTCCATTCTCGGGGGGGATGGTGCCTCCATGATGGCTTGTGACAAGGGACCGCGGGGGTCGTCTTCGTCACTCCTGGCTGGTGAGCGAGAAGGAGATATGTTGTAGTGGTGGTTATGGCGGCCTTGGTCGCGCGGAGCGTTCCTCGAGCGGTACAGCCATTTGTTATTTCCACTTCTTCTTTCTCCATGGGGTCTTTGCTCTTGACGTGAGGGGATGTGATCGCGTCTTCCCGTGTCAACGGGCTGGTCCCTCTCAAATGAGGGGCGTCACCTGATTGGTCGTGGAGAGGGACTTTGAGAGGCGTCTCGACGGGGAGATTGGGGATGTTCCTCTACTTGGCGAGGAGGGGGATACTGGGGCCTCCTATGTCTCCTGGGGGCTCTCTGAGTATCTTCGAGCATCCTCAACCTCTCTCCTTGGGAGAAGATCAGATGATTTGTCTGGTTTATCTCCGCGAAAAGTGTCCTGGTCGTGGCATCTGCTCTGGCGGGAACAGGGACCTCCTGGAACTGGTCGGGTTGGTAGTTCTAAGGAGGTGGTCGATCGTCTTCAAGTCGTCGAGATAACGATGATGACGAGGCTATTGCTCTGTCTCTATATTCTGAAGGCCCGAGCATATTAACGGTGGGGGCCGTGTTATGGCCTGCAGTACCAGCATTGACGATGCCAGGATTATTATCGGCGACGTTGTTGTGAACATCGACGATGTGGACGTTCATGTTGTTTTCTGCTGGTTGATCAACCATGACAGTCGGAAGAGTGATTTAGGTTTAGTCTTGAGTAAACGGAAGACGGGGAAGCAAGTTTCCCACAAACGGCGCCACTGATTGTACTTGATCAGAATGGACCACCACAGCTGGCTCGAGCAGAAGTTGAGTGAGGTGGAGGGGATACCTGCAAGACACTTAGATGCCAAAGTATGTTGTGAAATGAGCAAGCAAACATGAGAGTTAGAAAGTGTTGAATACCTGACCCTCTCGAAAGAGAGGGTATTTATAGCCCCCAGCGTTGGGCCAACGTCTCTTCATTGGGCTGGTCAAGCAGGCCTAACATAGAGACTGCTAGGTCCTACGTGAGTAGTGGGGATCCGCACGTGGTCTCCTACCTGAATGACATCCTCCGCAAGGCCAAGAGGATATGGATGCGATCTTTCTGGGGCCATGAAGACTCCGTGATATTCGGAGACGTTGGTAATCAGTCCTACGAGAAGGATGCTCGGGAGGAGCATCTGCTGGTTGTGGGTGATTCCCGCCATACGCGAGGTCGAGTGGGGGGACCAGCCTTGGTCGACGAGCTAGTCGGGATGTCCTCGAAGGTGACCGTCCTTAGTCTACTTGGGGTGTTCTCCCCGTGTGGTGAGATTGTAGTTGTCTGCCATATTCGAGGACAGAATCGGTCAGTGATACCAGTTGACACTTGGATTGCCTCACTGGAAGTTGGACCAAGGATAGATCCAGTCCAGAATAATAATAATAATAATAATAATAATAATAATAATAATAATAATAATAATAATAATAATAATAATAATAATAATAATAATAATAATAATAATAATAATAATAATAATAATAATAATACATTAAATTTTTATTATTTATAATAAGAAACTATTATTAATCATAACAATAAACCATTTAAACTATTAAAATTAATATATAAATCACAATATAAATACTTTACCACTGTTACCGAAAAGTGATACTGTTACTCAGTAATCAATATGACTAGTACGCAAAGCACTATTTCACACTATCTAACATAGGGCAGATGCAATATATTCTCTACGCATTATTACGACTTCGGTACCCAAAAAAAAATACATAACCAATATACATGCAAAAATAGGTTGCACCTTGATTATATCATTAAACAATTTTTCCCAAAATATATATTTTAATTAGCATGCTTGAATAAAGTAATGTAGCTATGTATCACCCGTAAATCAATTTGCCAATGGTGGATAATAATATTATGAAAATTTTAGAATTTCAATAAATAGAAACTAAGAGATAGATCGTACAATACAAACAATAAACTGATAATACCAATTTTCAAACACAATAACAATTTTGCAACAAATTTTACAATTTAGTTAGTCAATTTCAAGCAAAAAGATAATATATTATCTAAATATATGTTATAAGCATTCGTTAACCGTAACATTAAAATTGTGTAAATTTTAAAAATTTAAAATATAAATTTTTAACTATTATGGTTTCAACTGAAACCTAATAATAATTATCGATATTAAAAAAATAAAATATAAATTTTATAAGAATTGAAAAATAAAAAAAAAATTAATTTTCAAAATTCTTGTATCAAAAATTTCAAAATCACCCAATAAATCACAACATGCAAAATATTAATTTATATAATTGAAAAATAATTTTAAAATCAAATTGAATCAGATATTGATAATTGTGAGACCACTTGTTAGATTTGTTCAAAATTCTTATAATTTCTATTAATATAGAAATTAAGAACAAAATTATAAATAAAATCCTTAAACATATATCCGAATATAATTATGAAAATGAAAGCGAAAGCGTATATAGATTTGTCATTGCGAATCACTGAAGGTTTGTGGATATGTAATCTTCTAATTTATAGAGTTCTTTATGCCTATTGATTCTTCTACGATGAGGATGAAGAGAGAAATACTGATAAACCGTTTTATGTTGTCTACAAATAGGAACCATAACTTCTATAAATAACTTTAAGGTTATTTCTTAATATTCAATATTGTAATTTAGTCTCTCATCAAATTAGATATTGACTTATGATATTTACCCAATAACCTAATATTATGATATTTATACTTTTAAACACAAAGTTAATATTATATTAATTAAATTTCTTTAAATTTTAACTAATTAAAATAATAACACAAACACTTTAAATGTTACATTTGTGCTTAAAATTCTAACTGTAAAATTATAATTTTTTGCTAGTTGTCTGGTGAATTAGCTTTTATTTATGGAATTTTTTCCTGTATGCCACATTTGAGAAACAAAAATCTCAAAATGTCATAGAATGAAATTAAATTTTCAGTATGCCACGGACAAAGAGTTGAACGCGATTTGAAATTGCGTGATGATCCTATCCTTTATACACTTAATAGACTCAAAGGTGGGACTCTCGCGCTATTTTAAATAACGTCAATCTCTTATATGTGATATACTGGAAATTTAATTTCAGTATGTGATATTTTAGAATTTTTATGCTATTTCAAATAACGTCAATCCCTTATATGTGATATACTGAAAATCTAATTTCAATATGTGATATTTTAGAATTTTTATTTCTCGGAAATGACAAGCAAGCGTGGAAAAAATCTTTATTTTCCATCTTGTTTCAATGATACGTTGATCATATCAAACTACAATTTTACGTCACATAGACAATAGGACACAGATTGTCTCCTGTGGAAAGAAGATTGGAGAGGGAGCAGTTAAAATCCACACCCTTAAAAATCATTATTCTTGTATTTTTTATACTTTTAATTTATTAGTATGTGGTTGAGATTTCACCACAGCATTATTTATTAGAGACAATCTTCTACCATAGACCATATTATGTGAGGTCACGTCACAAAATAAAATGTCATTTATACAAAATTAGAAGGAGAGAAAAAATCCAGAAAAAATTAAATAGAGGAAGCTAAAGTTAAATTTTTTTATAAGCTACTAAATATTATTTTTGTAAAAATAAAATAGAGTCTAAATATAACTTAAGCGTAAAAAATAAATACAATTCTTGATAATTAGAGATGTCATCACGTATAAGCATTCAAAGTTGAAGATATTATGCATTAATGTCCATGATATTAATTCAATACAACCAACTCTTCAACCCTATTTTATGAAATTGGATCCTCACCAATTTTTTCTAGAACCATTGAATTTATCTAATACAACCAACTCTTCAACCTTATTTTATTTTATTAGATTTATATATTATTTATAAATATTACATTCGTTGGTCATTATTATAAATAAAAATAATTAATAAAAGTCGCTAATGAGTTATGACACCAACTTTTTGCTGAAAATTCAAATAGACTTGATATATTTAAATCGCAACAAATCAGAAGCAAATTCAGAAAAACAAAACACCAAAACATCATTTGCAAAAAAAAACAATGGCTTCATCAATCAATGGAAGAAAACCAAGTGAAATTTTCAAAGCACAAACTCTCTTATACAAACACATATACGCCTTCATAGATTCCATGTGCCTTAAATGGACAGTTGAAATGAACATACCAAACATCATCCATGATCATGGCAAACCTATTACTCTTTCAAACCTAGTTTCAGTTCTTCAAGTTCCATCATCCAAATCGGGTAACGTGCGGCGTCTCATGCGATACCTTGCACACAATGGATTCTTCGAGATTGCAACGAACGGAGAGATAGAAAATGAAGAAGAAGCTTATGCTCTAACTGTTGCATCAGAGCTTCTTGTTAAAGGAAGTGATATTTGTTTAGCACCAATGGTTGAGTGTGCTCTTGATCCAACGCTTTCGGGTTCGTTTCATGACCTGAAAAAGTGGATTTATGAGGAAGATATTACACTCTTTGCTGTTACTTTAGGATTTGGTTTTTGGGATTTTCTTGATAAAAATCCTGATTATAATAGATCTTTTAACGAGGCAATGGCTAGTGATTCTAAAATGATAAACTTGGCTTTGAGAGATTGTGGTTTTGTGTTTCAAGAATTGGAATCAATTGTGGATATTGGTGGTGGAACTGGAACAACTGCTAAGATTATCTGTGAGACATTTCCTAACTTGAAATGTATTGTGTTAGATAGGCCACAGGTTGTTGAGAATTTATCTGACACCAACAATTTGAGTTTTGTTGGTGGGGACATGTTCACATTTATTCCTAATGCTGATGCTGTTCTTCTTAAGGTATGATTTCCTAAACTAAACTCAAATTTACATTTTGAAATTAGATCTCTTAATCAAGATCGAACCGTTCAGACTAGAACCGTATTTGAGGGTGTAAAAAACTGTTACCGCACACGGTTTAAAATATGCAACAGTTAAACTGTTGTTAAATATAAAATCATAAAATGTTTATCATGGTTTAACTGTAATTAAATAAGATCTATATTTTTTTTTGTTATGATTAAATTACGATTAACTTATTCAGAACTTTCAAAATTTTAAGACGACATTGATTCAGATCCTATTTCAGACAAACTATTAATTGATACGTTTATGGATCAATTGTCAAGTTCCAATGAAATATGTGTTTGTGGGTGTAGAATTTTATCTCAGATGGTCTAAAATATGTCACAATTAAATTATAATTAAATAAGATTTAGTAAAATGTTTATCACACTTTAACTGTTATAAAATAAAATCTCTATTTATTTTATCATGGTTAAATTGTGATTAATCTATACAAGATTTTCAAAATCTTAAAACGACACTGATTCACGAAGACCTTTAATTTATATGTTTATGTATCAATTGTCAAATTTGTGTGAAATATTTGTTTGAGTTTGATAGTTTCTTAATGAATTATTTGAAGAAATGTCTAATCCTTTGTTTCTTTTTATATAAATATAGTGGATTTTACATGATTGGACTGATGAGGATTGCATAAAGATATTGAAAAAATGTAAACAGGCAGTTACAAGTGATGGAAAAACAGGAAAAGTGATTGTGATAGATATGGTGATAAATGAAAAGAAAGATGAGAAGAACATTACTCAAATGAAGCTTGTTATGGATGTAAACATGGCAAGTGTTAATGGGAAAGAGAGAAATGAGAAGGAATGGAAGAAACTTTTTGTTGAAGGTGGCTTTCAAGACTATAAGATATCTCCTTTGACTGGATTTTTGTCTCTTATTGAGATCTATCCTTAAGCATTGTTGTTTTAATTTACACACATCAATCATACACATACGTAACATACACTTCCATTTTAAAAAATAGTAAAAAAAAAAAAAGTAATGGAATGTATGTCAGTGTTATATAGGTTGTGATCAATTATATTGTTTCCATGTTATAAACTAATGTTTTGATCTATTTTGATATTGTACTATTGTAATCTTAAACTGTTGGTAACTAAAATATTAATTTGTCAAAAATTGTGGTTGCTGCCTAAATAAGATTTGATAGAAAGTTAAAATGGGAATCAGAAATAACACATACATGTTATATTCTCTGATACGAGAATAAGTGATTTTATCTTAATTGGTTAAGAAGTTTTATTTTAGTTTGTTGGTGACGTAAAGAAGTGTGAAATGCATAACTTTTTTTTGGTTGAAGGAAAAATTTATTGGTAATGATTTTGATCTCTGATAACTGTATTTTTGTATTTTCAATCCCCACAACAATAAAATAAATATTTTACTAGCTCAACAAAAACATAAACTTACATATCATAAATAAATTACATGCATATGAATAAAGTGATTATATTATCTTATGAAATCTAATTTCTCCGAGACAATATCTAATATTTGTTTCATAACTTAACATTCACATGCATATGAGTTTGGTTGTCTCCGTGTCTATAAATAATTTGTATATAGTGGTTAAGACATACAAAGTCTAATTTATATATTAAGAAAAATTTAAAGAATGTAACAAATAATACCACTTATTTTTTGGAAAAGGAATTGATTTTGTATTTCTTTGACTACGATACATAAGATGTATCCCTCCATAGCTCTACATGTTGAAAAAACGTTAACTAAATAAAACTTATCCAAAAATAAATATAACATTTTCATATTACAAATAGTATCACTTACGCAATAGGAAATCCTTTTACCTTTGAATCAAGACTATAGTATAATGAGTACAAACATTCAGAAAAATTAATAATAGATAACACTTGAATATTAAATAAGAAAAAATACAAATCATATATACTTACGAACTCACAAACAATCCTAGGTAACAATCTCTTTTCACTTGAATTAGTATTTTGTGTATATTTAAATATCATTTGATGAACGTTGTGTAAACTGAATATGATATGGATCCATGAAACCATACTTTTATAAATCTCTTTGGAAACAAAACTAATAAATCCACTTAAATGATGTGAACACAAAAATTGACATTGGTCAAAAATATTTGATGAGACTCGAAGTCTCTCGGAAGAGGTGTTTAAAGGAGTTTGTCTCATGAGACTTTAAATTCCTTAGGTGAGACTTTAGAGGAGCTTATCTAATGAGACTCCAAATTTCTCAAGCAAATATTTTTATTTATTTTATTATTATGTTATAGTTTTAATATTGATTTTATTTTATAATTTTGAGTTTGATATAGTTTTGGTTTAAGTTTATTAATTTACAAATTTAATTTTAGTTTTATTTTATAAAATCTTTTTAATTTTTGTATTTATAGTACAATTCATACTATTAGTAATTAATAGTTTTAATTTAATTTAATTTAATTAAATTAATATATTATAATTTAATTTAGGTTAAAAATAAATAATACTTAAAACATTAAAAATAGGAAGCAAACAAAATGGGTGGGCGGAAAGGAAAATTTCTTCACACTAAAATTAGAGACGACCAGGGCCGACATTAGTAACAAACAAAAAAGAAATTCAGGCTATTAAGAATGGAGGCAAACAATTGGGGGAAATGGAAAAATTCACACAAAAATTAGCATCGATTCTAGTCGACGCGAATCTTAATGCTTTAATAAAAAAATAGGAACAAGTGCTTTTACCGTGTTAACATCGGCTTATTAAGAAACAGTAACAACACTATTAGTGTCAGAGTTAGGGCCGACGCTAAATTCTGGCAGCTAAAACAACATTTTCTTGTAGTTTCTTTAGAGGAGGTAATCCCTTGAGGGCAGACAAAAATTACGTGGAAGTCCATCAAACTAATATTGCCTTAAGAGGCAGCAAGGATCTTTCTATGGAAGTTCAACGTTCATGTATTTCCTTAAGAGGAGGCAAAGATCTTCCTATGGAAGTCAAACGTTTATGTATCTCCTTAAGAAGCGACAAGAATCTTCATGTGGAAGTCCAACGTTCATGTATCTCCTTAAGAGGCAACGAATATCTTCTCTTGGGAGTCCAACGTACATAATAGCCAAACCAAAAATCTCTTTTGCTCACAAATATTCTGAAATTTGTACATAGGTGGGCAACACGCCTCCTATAATAATTCGTAAATAACTTAGCTATAATATTTGTACATAGGAGAATTCTTGAATGTGGGAGACATCTCTTACTTTGTTGGTTAAATCGATAGTACATATGAGCTCTAATTATTCACCTCAGTATCAAACCAAGAACGCCTCCATAAGGACATATTCGGGAAACATATTGATTTATACCATGGTGAAGGATCTCTGTCGTAGTCGAATGAGGGGGGGGGGGGGGGGGGGTTATGATAAAACCATAATATTTCATGTAGTAATTCATCTCAGAGCCCCTTAGCATCATCCGAATTCTTTTTGATCCCTTTCAAGATTACCTTATCAGCTGACTCTGCTTTTCCATTGGCTTGTAGGTAGACGACACCGAAGTAATTCGTTTACAATCCTAGTTTATGGAAGAAGTTAGTGGTTATGGAACTGGAAAATTACATTCCATTTTTTGAAACATTGTTGTGTGGTAGTCCAAACCTGCATGATTTTTTTGCAAATAGAAACGTTGAATTCTTTTTGGAGTAATTTTGGCAAAATATTCCTCATTTATCCAATTGGTTATGTAGTCAATGTAACACCCCAATTCTACCCCAAACAATTATGCAAAATAAATCAGAGTTATAAAATTTCAATCATGCATACGAATCGGGACATCACAAATTCTTCTAACAAATTCATTGCATTCATCGTGGATATATAACACTTTTTAAAACATCGGATGAACCATCATCATAAACATCTTTAATCAAATAATTCAACATCTACGCAGCGAAATTCTTAATAACATCTCTAACAAAACAACAACTTCGAATCATCTCATAAATAATAATCAAATTAAAATTCAACAACTAAAAATCATCAATCAAAATAGCAAGCGTTCATCCCCCCGAGTGTTACATATCAGAGCAATGACACTGACTCGAACCATTGAAGGTATACAGCCTTCACTCTCGATTACCTGCACATTACCAACATAAGGGCAACATTCAAACAGAAGGAGTGAGATATCTAACAATATAATAAAGCGCATGATAATTAATATATTAAATTAGATCAACAACATCACCACTTCTAATCTCAAAATCAACAACAATCTCAACAATGATATACATTCATCAACATCAAAATACACTTGTTTATGAAATCATATAATGCGACTCAATACTATGCAAATGCATGTGGTGCCATTGGAGAAGAACTCCCATCTCAAAAATTTGCCAATTAATAGAGGAATCAACAAGGCATAGCCTTCATCTCAAAATTTTCCAATCCAGGCCATCTCAATGAGCATATAAGCTCCATCTTAAAAAAAATGCAATGTATGCGACACAACCATGAATGTAATGATAACACCCAAGTTAACAACATCTCGAATCATCTCAAAACATCTCAAATTATCATCTCAAACATCTCAAATTATCATCTCAAAATATGTATCAAAATAACATCTCAAAATACATCTCAAATAATCAAATAATTCATCAAACGTCATTTATTTATAAATCATCAAACATCGTTTATTTATTAATAACTTCTCATTTATAACTCAGTAGTATTTTAATTCCACAAGGAATCAACACTGTCATTCTGTAACTCCAAAGTCAAGACCGTCACTTTCCTACTGTTATATCCCAAACCACAGCTTCTAAGCATCTAACGTTCATCGATATACGCATAACAACGCAAAGGCCATCTAGCTTCTGATCATGCAACCTCTAACCAACGCTATTTCTAAGTGCACAACTTCTAATGACGCAACCTCTGGGCGACACAATCTTCTGACTACTATAACTTTTGACTAATGCAACCTCTGATCAGATGCAACTTCTGATCATCACAGCTTCTGGCTAACCCCATCTTCTGACCAGACACAACTTCTGATCATCACATCTTTTGACTAATTCCATCTTCTGACCAGAAAAAACTTCTGATCATCACATCTTCTGACTAATGCCATCTTCTGGCCAATGCAAATTCTGACTAGTGCAAACACTGGCTAGTGCAAACTCTAACATCAGAACTGCCAACTTTCACTATGCCACGCATCTTCCAACAACTTACGTCCAACTTCAGAACTTCTATCTTGCACTAATCTAACGCAACTCTAGTCAACATACTACTAATGTCAAAACTGCTACCTTTTATTCCATCCTACTATTTTGATTCTTTTCCTGTTATTAACCTAATTAGGAACAGTACGCCTAAAGCCATCCCTAATTGATTCATTGTTCTAAAACAACAACTTCTGATATTCTTCACACCTAATTCCGCGTTTTCATTACTGCTACATTCAACGTCTCCATTACTGCATCTCACTATGGGATTCACGATTAAAGCCATAAACTCAGTATATTTATGACAATTTTTCACCTATAATCATCTTATAATTCTACATTGTTTTAACAATATCAAGACATCAACATCCATCTAAAATTCATCAAATCATCATCATACATCATCATATACATCCAATTCAAGAACAAGACAACAATCATCACTAATCCCACATACCAATCATCATAAACCCAATTATAGAGTTAGAACTCCACCCTTACCTTGGATTGAAGGTCGCTCTACAATTTCCGGTTGGATTCACGTTCTTGCCATTTTCCACTTTCTCTAGCAGCTTGCACGTTCTCTTCCAAATCCTTATTCTTCTACTGCTTCCTTTCTTTCTATTCCTTCTAACAAATAATAAAATAACCCTATTATTCTATTATCTCCTTATTGGGCTTAAAAC